AGTTCCTATGGTGATGACCATATTGTTTGTGTGATTGAGGATGATCATTCTGGGAAAATTATTGCAACTGGGAGTATGTTCATTGAAAAAAAGTTTCTGAGAAATTGTGGAAAAGTTGGGCATATTGAAGATGTTGTGGCTGATGCTGGTGCACGAGGAATGCAATTAGGAAAGAAGATAATCAAATTCCTTACAAACCATGCTCATTATATGGGGTGTTACAAGGTAATTCTTGATTTCAGTGTTGACAATAAATCATTCTACGAGAAATGTGGTTTCAAAGAGAAAGAAATTCAGATGGTTCAGTACTTTGTTTAAGAAATAATTTTATTGATGTTATTCTTTACCATCCATGCACTTATTGATAACTATATTGTAAAACACCCAAGAATCCAAGATCCAAAAACTTCAAACAAATCAGAATCCAAACAACACAAAACTCAAATCAATCCAAATTAATAAAACTCAAAATAAATGTTAATAATATATTGGATCGAAATTTTTAATGATATAATCAACCCCAAACCTCACAAAAGCCATGGCCACCATTGCTGCCGCATCCACCATCCCAAAACTCATCCAAATTCTTCTCAAATCAAGCAATTGGTTGTCTCAATCAAGCAACACCCACCCTCTCTGTGTAATTTTTTTGTTGTTTTTATATTCTGGTAAAAAAAATTCTTGGTCATGTTTGTATTGAATTTGTTGATGAAGATCTAAGTTTATTTATTTTGTTGATTAATCCGCAGTTGATGAAGTTGGTTTAACGTGGAGTTGATGAAGTTGTAAATAGATTTGTTTAATTTTGTTGATGGGTGAGGACTGGGGAGTTATTGCGTTTGATGAAGCTGAAATGAAAGGGATAGATCAAAAAAATGAAGAGCGAAAGTGATTTGGTAGATCGTTGATCGATCGCAGGCTAAAGAATATAATTTTACATATTTCTCTTTTCTTTTACCTCGGTTATTAAGGGTCTGTTTTTGTATATATATATATTTTTTTTTTCCTGAAGTTTATTGAGAAAACAAGTAAAATGATCTTTATGCCAAGGGGAATAGAAGAAGATGAAGATGGGAGGAGGGGATGAAGAAGAAGAAGAAGAAGAAGAATACGGTAAGGCAGTTTGGTAATAGCAGAGAAGGGGATATATGGAGGGCAGTTTGGTAATAGCATCGCTTGTACTTGTGTCAGAATTTAACTGTCACTAACAGTGTTACTTTAAGGGTGAGAATCTTAGATTTGTGAAACCAGGGGTGGAAACTTACTTTTTCGCTAAACCTTGGGTGGGAACACATCGTTTACTCTAGGGGTGAGCACGGGTAACTGATAGAACCGGAATATGCGGGTAGAATCGAAACTGAAACCAGCACTGTGCAGGTAGGTTCCAGTTTCATTTTATTGGAACCGACATTGTGCGATTTCGGTTTCGGTTCCAGTTCTTATGTGTGGAGGAACCGAAAACAAACCAAAACTAGAACCTAGAAAAAGAATCTAAAAATGGAACCTGCTTGGAACCTATAGCGGGTACCTGGTTTCGAACCTGTTTGGAACCTATTTTAGAACTTGGACTACAATAAAATATTTGTGAAATGTGAATAATGAGAGGTTTTTATTATTTTACATATAAAAAAAATTTAAAATAGAAGAAGTTAAATTTTTAGAATAACCTAATTAAATAAATATACAATTATACTTATTACATATAAACTACACTATATTAAAAACTTTAATATAGTAATATTAAAATTTTGATTAATTAAGGGAATAACTGGAATTATAATCCAATTAAAAGTGTTTTAATGTTATTAAAAGAATTATTTTTGAATAAAATAGTATATTTGATTGAATAATAATATATTTAATTATTTACTTTAATTATCAAGTTCTAAGTATATTAGCAATTAATTAATTATATATGATAAATTGATAAACATTAGTAAATTTAATTACTAGTTAAATATCATACTTAATCAATTATAACATTACATTATGGTTCAATGATTACTTAATTAATTATAATTTTATAAAATTACTTAATTGCAATAAGTAAGTTTTATACACAATTTAACTCGCCTCATTAGTCGGAACACGTGCTTGTGTGACCACTTTCCCGTCAGTAGTTTATCACCCAAGTACTCAAATATCCCGCTGTCTCGTAAAAGCTATGGGACAACTTACACAGTGACTGCATCACTATGTTCAACGCTCTCTCTCGACAAATACTCCAGTTGCAATCAAGGATCTGCACCAAGCCCTCCTCGAGTAGCCAAATGATGGTTATCCAATGCATTTGCTTGATATTCACGATGCAGTATACTCTTTTCACCTTCGCCCAACTGTTGCCATATTTGGGCCTTTGCCCCCTTACATACTGGATCATCCTCTTGTCAAACCGATAATATGCAAGGACACTGTTAAACTCCTCTGCGACCATTCTTTTCTGCTTGTCTCCCCTTGTTGCTACTCTATCATTGGCTTTTTTCATTAACGTCTCATATATACTTACTAGGCTCTAGCCAAAGGACACATCGGTGATGGCACATTGCTGATAAAAAATATCACAATTAGTACTCTATCGCATCCTCATCAGTGTCAATACCTCGTCAATGTGCTGCATCAAATCAAAACAAGATGATAAGTGTCTTGGCAAACACAAGCAATTTGTTTAGAAAAAAATAGATTGCCTAAGCGATCACAAAATACCTTATGGGAAACATAAGCAAAAATAGGGAAAAATAACTCATTGAGTTATCAAGCCAACAACATATTCTCAACATTTGATCAAACCACTTCCGGGAATAATCCTCGGTCTTGGAAGTGACGTTTGCAATTGACACAAACGTCACTTCCTTCATCATTGTAATAGGCATAAAATAATTTTTTCTATTCCTCATCTATTAGCCTAAACAAATCAACCTTTAAATCCTTCAATTTAACTTCCCGACTTCCTCCTTATCATCCTTTTTCGCTTCTCCACTTCTACCAACTTCTTATTTATCTTTCTTAGTTCTCCTCTTCTTATCATACCTTATTTCCATGAATGGAGATTTCACATGCTTGCCCTTTTGGCTCTCTCTTTTCTTAGGTTGCACTTCAACCATTTCCCAAACCCTATCAAGTTTCTCCTCTTCCATTTTATCAACCTTCTCACAAACGGTGGTGCTGAAACTGTCAAACTTGTGGTGTAGGCCGTTTATGAGATCAACCAACTCATTCTGCAGATGCCTTGGCAAATCGGTATTTGTTGTACCGGTTTGCCAATTTGGAGGATCTGGCTGGAAAAGGCCAGATCTGGCCGTCGACGGCCGCAAACGGCCAAAGATATGGCCGTCAGCAACGGTCAAAGATATGACCGTCGTTGACCGTCAACGAAGGCCAAATCTGGCCTTATCCGGCCAGATCGATGAATTACTGGCCAGTTCCGCTCGTGGTGTAGGCCGTTGTGACAGATTCCGACTACCACCGATGGTGGTTGCCGGAATCTAACAAGTATGGGTGGGTGGGGGTGTTTTTGTTAATTTTTAAACTTTTTTTTTAGGTATTTAATGAAATTAATAAACTTAAGGGGTCTAAAAGTAATTAAAAAATATACTAATATTTCTTAAATAATGTGCCAAACAGTATTTTGGGAATAGGATTGGAAATATAGGTAGAAATAATGTGCCAAACGCACCCAAACATATCCACTTTTTTTAGGGATGTATATACCCAAGCCTGGGCCGAACTTTCACGGGTTAGACCCGTGTACATAAGAAACTGCAACCCGTGTCTAGGAAAAAGCTTGGGTTTTTAATACCCGACCCTGGCCTACCGAGGCTTCAAGCCCAAGTTTGGTTTATATGATAACAGATCTTTTTGAAATTTTATTTTATGTGAGCAACCGGAGGGCTTCTAGAGTTTTGCTTGGTAGAACGGGGAGCAATATGTAATCTTTTAGGGGTTTAACTGTAATTTCTTAAAAGTTTTGCAACTTTGTACAATGTAAATAAAAATAATATCATTTTGCTACACATATTTAGGTAAAATCCTAGCCATTCAACCTATCCCACACGGGTCAAGACTCACAAGATGGATAACTTTTGTTATTAATAACCATATCTACTCAGTGTCTCCCTGTCACGGGTAAGTAATGAGGACTTAAATGCAAGCACCAGAAATGGCAGAAAAAACAAACAGAAATTATTTGGGGACTTAAAGACAGTCTACACATGCGCACACGCAAAAGTAGACACACAGATGACTAGTTCATACACAAAGAATCTGCATAATAAGATAATCAAGATAAGAGTCAAAATTAGAGTTCACACCGACTTTCATCTTAATTTTAATATTATATTGCCAATCTTACAGTTGCTACTTTGTCAGATGTTGAAAGTTGAAACTATGGAGCCAGAAGTTTTGACCTTAATGGTCACAAGCACATGCCTAGCATGTGCATCTTTCATACTTTCTTGACTGATGATGATCATGTGATCCAATCTGGGCTTTAGAAATGGGATTTAAGTAACTATACCAAAACCCAAATCCCTTGGACATTGTGAAGCTCCAAACAATTAACTTCCAATGGAAATAATGGAAGAAGGAAACTCTCATGGAACACAAAAACAAGGGGGGCATCGTTTGGGGCCCTCAGATGGCCACTATATAAACATAAAGAGAAGTTATAATGCAATTTGTATCACTCAAGTCTTGTAGGCCATAAGATCTCACACAAATCACGACTCCTCGTTGCTTTTTCCCTTTTCCTAAGCTAATAATCCTATCCCTTTGAGACCAACACCGAATGCCTAGTAGTCATCCATTATGACACACACGAGGACAGCATTTTTTTAGTGTTTATATCACTTTCATAACCATCCTAATGTATTACGTTATGCATATGAAGCTAAACACATTCTGCGAAAACCATAAAGGCGCATGCGTTCTTCTTTTTTATGTTTGGACAGGTATGATAAACAAATTTATTTGGAAGAGTAAGAGAGATAAGATATAACATTGAATTAAAATGACGAAATTATATCTTCATTTCTGCTATATGAATTCCCAAGTCAACATTTATGCATAAAAAAAAAAAAAAAAAATCAAATTGATAAGGGACCTATTTTACACAAACATCTGGAGAGTAGATTATGTTTTGTGGAATTTAAAGATTTCTACCTATTACTGTTGTTGGGCCGCAGTAATACTTGTATAATCTCAGAGAACTGAGGGCGCTTTGATGGGAGATTGTTCCAGCACTTAGTCATGAGAGATTTCAGCATTTGTGGGCAGTCCTTGGGGATCTCGGGCCTTAGACCACAAGCAGCTATTCCAACTGCTGCTTGCACAGGTGAAAATGACGCATAGGCTGCCTCACCAGTCACCATCTCCCAAATCACCATTCCAAAACTATATACATTACTCATCCATGTCTCAGAAACACTCTCCGGGTCACCAGCAATAATCTGTACTCACCAAAAAGAGATTAGAGTAAGACACCAATTCGAATCTGCATCACTAATTTGACAGAATTGGAATATGTTAAAGAAATAGTCATAAACTTTGCACATCTACAATCATAACAAAATGAGTTAAAACTTATTGCAAAGGAAAACTTCTATAGTTAAAAGTATTTTATAACTCCATTATCATAATCTACTTCAAACTAGGCACATTCATTTTACACGTCCTAATGCTTCCAAGTAGGTAAAGAAATTCGGCAGAAAGCTTTCATCCACACAGTTCCAAGTTAGGTCTGGAAAGGGACTATTAATTATGCTAAATAACTTAAAGCTCCATTATGCGGGCTCCACTAATTAACCAATTTGCTAAAAGTGGAACTGCTACAATGTTGTGGCCAAGCTGATTAGTTTAATGGAGAATATATGAGTGCTTAAATAAAGGTAAACAACACATTAAATTATAAAAGCAATAATAATTATGATGACATGTTACGCATGCTCAAACAATGATTTTGGGGTAATTGATATAAAGTCTCTTTATAAGAGTTTACTAAACCTGAGAATTGTACCTAGGTACAATGAATCTAAATAGCATCCTAAAACATAAGAAAACAACATAATGTTCCATGAAAAATGAGCCCTTCTATTGAACACTAGAAAGGCTTATTCAGGTGAAACTGCTGTATCTTAATTTAGCAGAACACAATTGCTTTACTTTGAAGGATTTAAGGTTAAACCATAGCCTTAGTCTAAACACATACTACCCCAATATAATCAAGTTCAAATCCCCAGTTACATTATTAAAGATGTAGGGTATATCAGCAAGATATCTTGCAATTTACTAAACATCCACTGAAGACGAAGGATCCTAGTCTCCTAACACAGCCCGGTGTTATATACACATTGGACCACATCGGCAAAACCCTGGAATCATGGAAAAAAGATGAACCAGTTTAGCCTACATTTGCGCTTTGGGGTATCCATTTGGCATGAAAGCTACATTAACAATTTTTTTTTTTTTTTTTTTAATAGTGGAGGTATGTAAATGGTATCATCACTATGGCCATGCATATAGGCTCTAGAAGTTAGATTATTACTGAGATGAAGCGATTTTTTATGAACTGGATGATTAAGATCAATCGTAACTTGTTGTGGTAAAATGAGACAAGGAAATAACAGAATACAAACCTCAGGAGCAAGCCACCTGTAACCATCGGTTTCATACTCCATTGCCTCACCAACACTCTTGCAAGCAGTGACAATACCCATGTCCCCCAAGCAAGCATTACCATGTCTATCCAATAGAATCCTTTGTGTGTTCAAGTCTCTGTATGCAACACCATGGTCATTCATGAACTTGATCCCTTCAGCTACATCAGCAGCAATCCTAATTATCTCCTTAGTCTGAAGCTTCTTGTTTTTCATCATTAAGTCATGAACTGAACCGCCCTCCATCAACTTCGTCACTACACACAGCCCATGACTTTCATCTACACAAACACCATAAAACTGCAAAATATTCTTGTGCCCACAAGTCATCAACTCCAACAGATCTTTTCTCAGCTCAAACTCATACGAATTCCCCTTGTCACACCCTTTGAGCTTCTCAATTCCCACTTTTTTCCCCTTGTAAACTCCTTTAAAAGAATTGGGTCCAATCTGGTCAATAAACTCAAGATTATCTGAGTTCAACAGCCACTTCCCAATCTCTTCCCCACCGGATTGCATCGTCTGCCATTCATCAACCGATACAACAAACGAAGAAGTAGGTAACGGCATCTGAAGCTGAATTTTCATATTCAAATTCTCAACCCCACTTCTAAAGTTCTCCTCACCAGATTCCTCCTCAATCTCTCCAAAATCTCTCCCCTTCGCATTCTCCTCTTGGCACCCACAGAGCCCAAACGGGAGCTTCACTGATGTTTGTTTAGGCTTCTTAATAGCCGATTTAATTGCATTTTCAATCCTTGATTTAAACGACTTCTCGTGCCCAGCTTGAACTAACAGAAGAACAACCCCAAGAGTAAAGCCTTTCTTTTCAAAGATCTGTATCTTCTTGCAACAAATAGAAGCGTTATCTAATGCACCAGACATCGTTGGCCATGAAATTGATGAGTTACATGCAAATGTAAGCTTAAATACAGAACCCTGTACTTCATCATCGGACACTTCTTGAATCATTATAGCGGGACGCTCATCCCCTGACGCTTGCTCTATCAATTTTATATGTAAAAACACTTCTTTCATATCAAATCCCGCTTGCGCATAACTGTTTATATATTCACAATAATTAGAATGTCAAAATATAAAACAAAATTTGTAAAAAATACATTTATCTTTCTCAGTACCAACAGTAACGATACCTGAGCGGCAACGAATCATAATGCTTTCTAATATTAGAGACGAGCTTCTCCGGTAACTGACTTCCAGGATACAACTGCGTCAAGTTCCGTACAACACTCCCCCAAACAACCTTCCGACAACTCTCGATCTTAGACGTTGCCGTTTGGTTGTCACGTGCTCCTCCGGCAGCACCTGCGGCTGTCGCAGAGTCCAGATTCAACGTATTCTTAAGCGACGCAATCGCCTCGGACACGTTCCGACTCAACCGCTGAAACCGTTTCTGCATAACGGAAGAGTATTCCTTGGTCGGTCCGATATTCGCCGCCGCCACCGCCGCCGAGGTCTCCGGCGCTCCCTCGGACCTGTCGTTGGTCCGCATCAAGACTTGCTCCACCATGTCCTCGTCCGTGCTGGTCCGGCTCGACCAGCATTCGAGAGCTGCAGCCATTGGGTTGAGTTACTCCGAAATGTTGAACTCAAGCGTCGTGTTAAGTATTAGTAGCAGTAGATTTTAGGGTGACGTCGGTCATGTTCTTCTGGTTTGGTTTCTGACAGAGAGCGGGTGGAGAGTAATAAATAAACGATGGGGGTGTGAGTCTGATTGATCGAGAATGGTGATGACAAGCCATGATGAATGATGGATGGTGATGCTTTACTTCAGTGACGCTGAATCGCTGATTTTACTATTCATTTTGTATGTTAAACAAATATATATATTTTTTTTTTAAATCTTTATGATAATGTTTTTCACTTTATTATTACACAAATTATTAATGATTTAATTAAGGAGAGTATTAAAATGGTGTATTGTTGTTGTAACAATGTAAAGTGACCCTAGTTATTAGGTGCGCTAAGAAAATGATTGGGCAATATAGTAATATTATTATTAGTGTGGGTTACAATTACACCCTGAAATGATCATATTTATCAAGTATTAATGATGTGTTATGTCAAAGCATAACAAAATGGGTCATTAAAATGATCCGTTATAAACCACTCTTTGATAATCGGGTGAGACGATAGAGTCTCTTGAGTGTATTATTTAAAAGATTTTGAGTTCAATTTCTCACGATTGTTAATAAGGATAGTCACTGAAAGGATAATCATTAAAAAGTTTATCCGATCGTTAATTTCAAGGTCCCGTAAAATTTGTCAAGAAGTGGACAAATTGCTCTGATAAAAAAAAAATAAAGGATCCATTTGAGTATTTAAGGTAGTTCAACCAATTTATATTGTCACTGAGTTCTTAATGTATAATGTCCATTTCTTTAATTTTCTTATTACGCACAGCATTAAATAAAATTTAATCTAAGTAAAATTAATATTAATTATTTTTTACAGTAAATAAATGGAATAAAGTGGGTTTATAAACATTCAAATCCGCGGTGTTAATATGGTGTTGGTGTATGTGAAAAGGTAGGACCAGTGGGGATGGAGGGCGGGATCAGGTGTTGGAGATTGGTCTGCCATGTGACGGCCCAGAGACAACAGTTTGGAAAATCATGAGAAAAAAGGTGAAATCTAGGCCGTTGATTTGGGGAAAATTTTGTGGGGATTCATATGCGGTTGGAGGCTACTTTCTGTTAAGTGGGACCAACTTATCTAAATCACGTTTTGATTGATTGTAAATCTTGTGTCCACTACCATTTTGATTCTTTTTAGCAAATGAAGTTTTGTACGGAATGTTTGGATCAACGGATTAGCAACTGTGACCTGGGCCCGGCCGGTCCTTCTGGACAACATCTTCTTGGCTTAAATTAAGCCCACTTGCCACCGTTCGCCGCAGGTGTGAGCTGCTGTGTACAACAGGAGTCGTAATATTGCATTTTTNTTGATCGAGAATGGTGATGACAAGCCATGATGAATGATGGATGGTGATGCTTTACTTCAGTGACGCTGAATCGCTGATTTTACTATTCATTTTGTATGTTAAACAAATATATATATTTTTTTTTTAAATCTTTATGATAATGTTTTTCACTTTATTATTACACAAATTATTAATGATTTAATTAAGGAGAGTATTAAAATGGTGTATTGTTGTTGTAACAATGTAAAGTGACCCTAGTTATTAGGTGCGCTAAGAAAATGATTGGGCAATATAGTAATATTATTATTAGTGTGGGTTACAATTACACCCTGAAATGATCATATTTATCAAGTATTAATGATGTGTTATGTCAAAGCATAACAAAATGGGTCATTAAAATGATCCGTTATAAACCACTCTTTGATAATCGGGTGAGACGATAGAGTCTCTTGAGTGTATTATTTAAAAGATTTTGAGTTCAATTTCTCACGATTGTTAATAAGGATAGTCACTGAAAGGATAATCATTAAAAAGTTTATCCGATCGTTAATTTCAAGGTCCCGTAAAATTTGTCAAGAAGTGGACAAATTGCTCTGATAAAAAAAAAATAAAGGATCCATTTGAGTATTTAAGGTAGTTCAACCAATTTATATTGTCACTGAGTTCTTAATGTATAATGTCCATTTCTTTAATTTTCTTATTACGCACAGCATTAAATAAAATTTAATCTAAGTAAAATTAATATTAATTATTTTTTACAGTAAATAAATGGAATAAAGTGGGTTTATAAACATTCAAATCCGCGGTGTTAATATGGTGTTGGTGTATGTGAAAAGGTAGGACCAGTGGGGATGGAGGGCGGGATCAAGTGTTGGAGATTGGTCTGCCATGTGACGGCCCAGAGACAACAGTTTGGAAAATCATGAGAAAAAAGGTGAAATCTAGGCCGTTGATTTGGGGAAAATTTTGTGGGGATTCATATGCGGTTGGAGGCTACTTTCTGTTAAGTGGGACCAACTTATCTAAATCACGTTTTGATTGATTGTAAATCTTGTGTACACTACCACTTTGATTCTTTTTAGCAAATGAAGTTTTGTACGGAATGTTTGGATCAACGGATTAGCAACTGTGACCTGGGCCCGGCCGGTCCTTCTGGACAACATCTTCTTGGCTTAAATTAAGCCCACTTGCCACCGTTCGCCGCAGGTGTGAGCTGCTGTGTACAACAGGAGTCGTAATATTGCATTTTTGCGAGGTATATGTAATCGTTAATGTCAAGGTCCAGAAAGATTACTTAAGTTGTACGTAAATATGTTCCGTTAGAAAAAAGAAAATAATAATATCATTTGTTTTATTTTTTTTACCTTATCCTATTCCGATCGTACTAAAAATACATATTTGTTTTCTTATTCTCAAAATTCAATCTTATTTTATTAAACTATTTAAACCACTTAGCTTTATTAATTTAATTAAACATCCCTAACAAAAAAAGTTTATAAATTGATAAAAACACCTCCACCCACCAACATTTGCCAGAATCTACCGTAATGGCGCACTACTGGTTGGATTTGGTCGATAGTGCGCCGATCTAGCCTTTTTTGACCAAATCCAACGTGGATCTGGTCGTTGATGGCCAAATTTTTGGCTATATCTGGTCGTCAATGATGGCCAAGATATGACCGTCATTGACGACCAGATCTGGTTGTAGATTTGGCCTTTTTCGATTATATCCACTATAAATCTGGTCGGAAAAGGTCATATCGGCATACGACTGGTCAAATCCAATCGGTCATGCACCATTACGGCAGATTCTGGCCACCTTCCAGCAGTGGTGGCCAGAATCTGGCAAATGTGAATAGGTGGGGTGTTTAGCTAAATTAACAAACCTAGTGAGTGTTTTTGTTAATTTTTAAATTCTATCTCGTAATCACAACCCAACTCAATTTTTTCAAAAATATTACTCAAAATAATGAAACAAACACAGCCATGATAAAAGCTTCCATGACATTCATCATCAAAACATCATAAAACGCTTGTTGAGGAGACATGATGGTCCACTTTCATTGATGAAGATTGAAGATAAATGATGAAGTTCCTAGCAATGTATGCATTTTGTCTAGCTCTAAGCCATGGACATACATTTTACACACGAACTCCATTAATGGACACTCTATTCAAACAAAATCCACTGTCAAGATGACAACATTTGTATTCTAATTTGTTTGACAATATCTCCTTAATTATAGAATGATGAGATTAGTGAATAGTGAATTAATTTGTCAACTTAATTGTTATATATATATATATGGTTAGAATCCCAACTTCATATGTATAACATTATTCTCGTGAAGTTTGTCAAAAAAACACTCACTCAAGCGAGATTAATATTATTATACCTCACTCGAGTAACTAGACTTGAACATCTCGAGTTTTTGCCATTTTTCTAAAAATTAGTTCTTCTGATTCAAGTGTCCAACTCTAAGCTATGGACATACATTTTACACACAAACTCCATTAATGGACACTCCACTCAAACAAAATCCATTATCAAGACGACGATGAATGATTTGATCAAGTTGACCTTTGACTTTGAAAAATGATCAAATATATATATATATGAAATTAACTTTTAAATTATTTATCGTTTAAGAATTTAATTTGATATATTTAATAAATTATATAATGAATTTTATATCTATTATTTAATTGTACAAAGAACAAAATGAAAAAAATTTGTATATCTTTTTATATATTTTATAAAATAAATATCATTTGTAAAATTTGTTTGTCAAATTAAACTATTGTCAATTGTTTTGTGTTTCAATACTTCTTACTTACAAAAAACAAAAATCATATATATATATAAGGGTTAACTCACAATCCTTCACTTAAATCGAGGATGTTCAGATGAAAAATTGAACATGAGACCGTGTATCTATCCACACTGTCCCCAATTCATTCTAACAATTTAGACCACCCGTAAATGGGTTATATCAAAATATTGAAGTTAGGAAGAAAAAAAAGATAGATATAAAAAAATTGTATTTTGATGAATTATTTGAAGGGGTCGAAACATAAAAGTGAAATTACAACAAAAATTATAATATTTTACTATAAAAACTAGATAAATATTTGAATATTTTATTTATAGAAATTTATTATAGTTTAATTTGGAAATGTTGTTATTTGTGTTAACTTAATAACTTGTTCATTTAATAAATTTTCTTGGTTTTGTTTTACACTCGTTAAAGTATCATAAATTTATCTCATATCATCAAACACAATCATAAATATTAATTATAAAGAGCATTATAAATAAATACTCACATTTTTGTATAACTTATATCAAATATATTATTTATTATAAGTTTATTTATAATTGTATTGTTAAGTTTAATTAACGTCTTGACCCCTCAATTGAGTATCTGTCTACATCCATGAATAAAGGGTATCACATCATTAGTATAATTAATTAATACATATTTGTCACATGATTTTTTAATTTATATATATATATATAACACTAAAAACATTAAAGAGAAGAAAGAAAAGAAAAAAGCAGAACGAAAGAAGTGAAATTAATTGCGTGATTGAAGGAAGAAAATGCATACAATAATTGTAATTAGTATTGGAAATTTGGAATATCGTTGACTAACTAACAAAAAAATATATTTGAAAGTCAAGGAATTGAAGAAATTATCATTTCTCTTTCAATGTTTTTATTTTTCTGTATTTTTTTTCTTTTCAAACAATTATGCTGAACACGTTTTTATTGTTATCTTTTGTACTAATTTCCTTGTTTAATTAAGATATTAGTATTGGAACTGGGAAGTAGAGGCATGGGATACTGAGTGCTTCACAAAGCTTCGTCTGCTCCTTTAATTTCATCCACTGCAGGAAAGATCTTTATATCAGTCTATCATCCCTGTAACTTCGTCAACAAGGTCAGACTCGCACCATCTCTCAGTGCGGGTCATGAATATATAGATATATCCATACGTATTAATCTAACTTTCACTTTTTTTCCAACTTTATTTTCTAGTTTTTAGATTTTGAGCTGTTCATCATTTTCATGGCATCCACGAGCTAAGGTTAATGCTGAAGAAGAAGACGACGAAGCTGAAGAAGAGGAGGTGAATTGTTATTAAATCCTTAACTTCAGTTTTCATGCAACACGTTTGCAAATTGTACGTGAAAATTATTATTAATTTTGTAATGCTGCAGCTTGAAAGGTTTGATGATTTCACTCTTCCTTCTTCATGGGAAAGCATTGGTTTAAGGTTCATATATGAAATAAAAGCAATTTGTCGGCAGTGGTTGGGTGACGGACCTAAGAATTTACTGGTATTTTCGTGCTTTTAGTTATCTTTTTAAACAAGTCGTATCTCTGTCATCTTTTCGCTCATTTTAAACTTCTATGTTTACATTTTCTATATATATACACTACGGGGCAGTTCAGCTGGCTTCTTCAAAGAGCATATACCTTACGAAAAGCACTTGCCATTCTGCAGGCAAAGTTCCATATTGGGATTGGGATTGGAATTTTCGTGTTATTGTAAATATTTTTGGAGTAAAGGAATTGTCCGTGTGTCTTTTCAATCCGGACTCCATTAACAACAAAAAACTCTTGGAACTCATGATTCTTCTCATACTGATATAGGGAAAATAGTGTTAAATTAGGATTTAATTTAGTTTCCTTTTTAAAGGAGAAGATTGAGCAATAAGAACACATTCAAGTTAAGGATCAAAAGGATGAAACATCGACGACTTTTGATTTCGACTGGAAGACTATAGTGTGTGACAACTCTCCTAAGAAGATCAATGACAATGGATATTTATTTGCTCCAAAGGATGACTTATTACTCTACTTCAAGTATCAATCCACCAGATTGAAACTCGAGGCCGAGCTTATTTTTAAGAGGGAGAGTATGATGTAGAGAAAATAGTATTAAATTAGGATTTAATTAGAATTTAATTTTGTTGGACAACTTGCTTTTGCTCAAGCTTCTCCTTTAGGATAGTTTACTTTTGCTCTTGTTCAATCTTCTCTTCTTGGAGAACTCGTTCAGCTTCAACGTCTACTTCATGCTCAATCTCCTCTGATGTGTGATCCTCGATTTGTAACATCTCATGATCTTTGTTGGCTTTAAGAATTTCTTTAGGAAGTGCTTTATGTTTCTCGTCTTCTTCCATAATTGGTGAGACATGTATTCTTTGACGAATAACTCTTTTTTTTTTTTTTTTTTTAATTCTTAATTGTGATTCTATGTCAAAGGTTAATTAAAGAACATCAAGCAATGTATGGTCAGGTCGTAAATCAATTTGATCTCGTATATTTACATTCAAAAGAATCTTAAAGCTACTCTATATGAATGTTCATTATAGTCAAGGTAGAGTAACAACCGTCGATAGTCAACAATATATTTTCTTTATTTGATTTTCTTTATTTATTTATGGTTTCATATTAGGAATTTAGTTAGTCTTTTTTAATTTTTATTAGGGGTTTAGTTGATTTAGAAAGTTTTAATTTAGTTAAATTTTACTTTCTTATTTCATAATTAGTCAACAGTTGAGATTTCTTGTTTTAATTAGTTTTTGTGTTTAAGTAAGATTTTATTTTCTTATTTAATTAGAGTCTTGTTAGGGTTGGTTGTAACCGCCCTATATAAATTTATTATTAATTTCTTTTGAGGAGATAGAAGACTCAATGAATTATTCAAATTTATTTCAGATTTTAAGATTAAGTTTCTGTAATTGAGACTTGTTATCAGTTCTAACGGTGTAGTCGAGTATTAGTCTTGTTTTATTACGCTAACTCGCTACGAGACATACTTCCTATCATTATCAACACTCTTTAGACATTTCAGTTTCAAATTCGTCTTCTTCTCCACCAAGGCCTTCAACTTTTGAAAACTAAACTTGATGCTTTGTTTGAATCAAAATAACCTTCAAGTAAAGCATTAAGTTATGCTTTTCCTTTTTTCGGTAGGCATAGTTCTCAATAAACCTCTCTTTGATTGTTAGAGAAAACCACGGTGCATGACATCCGAAAATAAAGAAAAATATCACACAATAAAGGCAAGCATATAAACAACACCAGATTTTATGTAGGAACAAACCCAGTTTTACTTCCATGGATGTGGTGGAACAAACCAGGGTGTGTTTGTTTTGTTATATTGAATAATATTTTTGAAAAAGTTGAGTTGGGTTATTATCAATGGCAGATCCAGAAATTTCTGCTAAGGTGGGCCAAAATAAAAATTAATTATACATTAATACTTTTGTCCATTAACATTTTTGTTTGGGTGGGTCAAAATATATAAATTATATATATTAACATTTAAAAAAAAAAATTTGAGGGTGGGCCAAAAAATGGCTGGATCCGCCCCTGGTTATTATTACAAGGATAAGATTTGAATTTGAAAATGTGTTTGGTATGATTATTTTTTAATCCCCTATATTTGTTAATTTAGTTAAACACCTCCTACAATAAAAGTTTTAAAATTAACAAAAGCACTCCCACCCACCCATTAAATGTTGACAGTCGGCCACCACCGTTGGAGGGTGGTCGGAAGTCACCGGAATGGCGTACGACCGATTAGTTAGGGGTGTTTAGTTAAATTAACAAACCTATGGGGTTAAAAAAATCTAAATATTTTGAGTTGAATAGAATATGATTGAATTTTGAGAATAGTGAAATAAACATGTATTTTGAATAGAATAGACATAGGGAAACAAACACAGCCTTAACTGCTCAAGCTTAATCCCAAACCTAACCCTAAATCTTTGTACTACCCTACCAGGGGTAAGCTTACCACAAGGTGATTGCTTCTCAAAGTGTAAAACTCCTCTAACATATTCTCCATAACTATAATTTCTACCAAATAACTACGGTCCGTTTGTTTTGTTATTTTAAATAGGATTTTGGGAATAATATTAGGTAGTTGAATATGGTGAGTATTACGAGGTAAAATTTAAAAATTAACACAAAAACCCCTAGGTTTGCTAATTCAACTAAATACCCCAATATATAAAAAATTTGTAAAATGATAAAAATACCCCCATCCACCCACAATGCCAGATTCTGGCCACCATCGCCGTAATCTGACCGAAAAATGGCGTTACAACGCAGACCGGTTGGATCTGGCGAGTAGGGCTTTGATATGGCATTTTTCAACCAGATCCACTACGGATCTAGCCGTCGACGGCCACAAAAGTCCAGATCTGGCCATCAGTGACGACCAAAGATACGGCTGTCGTTGACAGCCAGATCGGTGAATTACCAGTCAGTTTTGGTCGTTTGTAGGCCGTTATGATAGATTCCGGCTACCACCGATGGTGGTTGCCAGAATCTAGCAACGATGGGCAAGTGAGGGTATTTTTGTTAATTTTAAACTTTTTTATGGGGTATTTAATGAAATTAATAAACTAAGGGGTCTAAAAGTAATTAAAAAGATATTATATTTCCTAAATAATTACCAAACAAATATTTTGGAATGGATTGGGATATGGATAGGAATATTAAACCAAACCCCCCCTACATTTTCGATTTTCTAGAGGTGATATTGTTGAAATTTTTGAGATCTTGAGTGATTAAAAAGTTGACAAAAGATATGTTAGTTTAATTGAGATATTTGAAAAAAAAAAAAAAAAAAAAAAAAAAGGTTGAGGACGTGAAGCACCGCTCTGATTGTTCTATTTTTTGAAATTTTGACAGGAGGTTGAAAATCAAAACTACCATAAACAAATATATTTTCAAATTCTCACCAGTTAGAGGATTGCATCAAATTTTGTAATATCTCGAAATGCCTTAAAACGCAAACTTCAACGGTGCTATGCCTCTGTCATTTCTGTTAGGATTTTGAAATGAAGCTGCCAGTGAGGGATGACGAGAGAGAGGTTTTATCGAATGTGTTCATACCACCCACTGCTAATCAGCCACGGTGAAAAGTTTCGAGCGTGGGTAATCTTTTGAATGGCCATGAGCCAGTCCTCAGGGAAATTGTATTTTCCAAGAATGATCACGCAAACAGCAGTCATTAGACGGCCAACACGAAGGGATTCATCAACAAGAAATAGAAAAATGTCGAATGTATACATGCGGAACCTCAGATGATCTTCGTGTTGCACTTTCCGTCACCTCATCCGATTAGTCTCTTCCAAATTATGTACATTAATTCTTGCCTGTATGGATAGGATTTCTGTAGAATTTCATTTATTTTAATAGTAATGGAATTGGGGAAGTGGAGGATATTACACAAAACTAGAGACGCTTCTAGCAAATGTAGAATTATATGGGGAGATTCAGTAATTATAAAATTTAATCGGGATGTGATTGCAATTTATTCAAAGTTTTCACAAAGCTTCGTCTTCTCCTTTCCGTCCACTGCAAAAAACAGATCTTCATATCAGTCTCTGATCTCTGAAACTTCATCAACAAGGTCAGACTCGCACCATTTCTTGGCGCGGGATAGTAATTTTTCAAATGCATTAATCTAACTTCCACTTTTGAATTCTAGTTTTTAGTTTTTAAATTTAGCTGTTCATCATTTTCATGGCATCCACGAGCAAGGTTAATTCTAAAGAAGACGATGAAGTTGAAGAGGAGGAGGTGAATTACTATCGATCCCTTCAAATTAATTTGTTATGCAACACATTTAAATTGCATATGAAATTATTATTGTTATTATTTTGTATTGCTGCAGTTGGAACGGTTTGATGATTTCACACTTGCTTCCTCATGGGAGAGGTATATCTAATTTATGTTATTAATGATTATTTATGTTACTGCTCGATGTTTTATGAAGCTGATAAAAGTTAAATTTATGGTTGGTTTAAGGTTCATATCTGAAATAGAAGCAATTTGTCGGCAGTGGTTGGCTGATGGACCAAAGAATTTACTGGTATGCTTTCTTTGTTTTGCAATTTTTGTTTTATAAATTACTTAGACGAGTTAATGGTATTAAATATTGTTCAATATCCTTTTTGTTATTGTAAATATTTTGGAGTGTACTCTTGTTGTTCATATTGTTTTTAGCTTTTAAATATATGGTTAAAGCGGGTGCATGCAAGTCGTATCCCTGTCATCTTGTTGTTCATTTAACTCCACTTTTTACATTTTCTATATTATTTGGTTGTAGGAAAAGGGAGCAGTTCCGTTGGCTTCTTCAAAGAGCATATATAAGATTAAATCTGACTTGAAGTACTTTATGAAAAACTACTGCATGGAGTACTATTTCGAGATTAACAATAATGGTACTCAAATTGTTTTTTTCCTAAATTTTTTACTAAGTTTTGGAGACTATTTCATTTTTGTTTTCCTTGACTTGAGTTCTGGTTGGTGCAGGCAAAGTCCCAAATTGGGATTCGACTTTGCATGATTTGCAGTTGTGTTTTGGAGTAAAGGAATTTTTGGTATGCTTCTATTTGCATCTTGTACTCCACATGGCATTGAATACTTCGTTGCTTTGCACTTAATGTGTGTGGTTCACCAGGTGATTGCTCCTCAAAGTGCCAGTGGTGTGGTGCTTGATGCACCAGAGGCTAGCAAGCTTTTAAGTGCAATTGCAATAGCTTTGTCAAATTGTTCCAGGTAGGGCTTTGAGTTGAAATTATTACCAGATAATCTTTATTCAAAGCATATTGATAAATGTGCTTTCCATGATATATATGCTAAATACACTACAGCAGCTTTGATGTTTGGTTTGGAATCATTTTATTTGTCTCAACTTGTAACATTTTAACTTCTATTGTTTGCCCTAAACTATAGTTATTGAATGGTTGTTTAGGCTAAAATTTGTTCATGTCTTCTACTTTATTTTTGTATCAGTGGTCTTTTTTTTAATCGCATTTGACTGCCTAAATCAAAATTTTCATTTGTACATTTGGTTATTCAGTTTGTGGCCAGTGTTTGTTCCAGTGCATGATCCTTCTCGAAATGCATATATTGGAATCCAAAATATGGGAACAGTTTTTACTAGGAGGTTTGAGGCAGATCGTATATATAGCCAGGTTCCAGTGAGACTCATGCATTTGGAAGGCTTGTACGAGTTGTTTGTTTCCAAGTTTGTAAGTTCCTAACATCCTTTGTACTTTATAGTTCTACCTCGATTGTAATGAAGCTATTTATCTCCTTATGAAATGGCCTATTATTGATGCACCCTTTCTGTTATGTCATTTGTTCTTTATGTGTCCTTCATAGGACTACTATGTTTTTTAATCATTTTAATCGAGTAATCAGAACAAATTAATGGGTATCAATCGAATTATTGATTAATGTTACCTTTAAGATAATGTTGGACTTATTGCCAGTGCCCTCACGATAGATACATTTTTATCCCTTGTAAGTTGTTTGAATCAGTTTTCATGCCCAATTTGTATAAAAACACTTACGTCAGATTTATGCTTTACATTCCTGTAGACTTTTGAATTCTTATGCTTGGAAAAGCATTACTTAATTTCATCTAATGTTGAAGGCCTACGCCACATTGGACTTCTCAATGCATCTTTTCAAAGTTCGGTTTACAATGAAGCTAACTTACCAAACACTTCCCTATGATGATGATGATATAAGAGGAGCTGATGCTGAAAATGCAGAATCTGATGATTATCCTGGTGAGATCAGCAACCGAAAACAGTGGGATGATGATTGTCCTTGGAGTGAATGGTATTCTGCGGAAGACCCGATAAAAGGTAAACTTATGTCCAGGATATTCATATTCTTCTGTTTCCAAACTGAGACAAGGATAGTAAATTTTGAGTTTGGTTGTTTTGAGAATGAAAGATTTGTTCTGCGAGAGTACATGCATACCAAGTTGGAGGACTTACTCTCCCACCCTAAATTAATTTGACATTAAAATATCAAGCTTAGAGATTTTGTTTTCTAGATCTTTTTTTTTTTATTTTTCCTGGAAGGAGGGGAGGTAGATGGAGTTGTTAAGGTTGTGTGTACTTTGCCTAGATCAGAATAATGTTGGTTTCTCAAGCTTGGAAAGAGTTTTTCTTGCTTTAAGCCTTTGCTACAGAGATTGAGTTCGTTCTTATACTTGGTGCATTTTGTGCACACAGGATTTGGTTTGATTGCCTTATGGTCAGAGAAGATGGTTGAAAGCTCACTGGAAATGGCTGAATTGGAAAATGCTTCACCTCATGAGGCTGAGAAGTGGATTTTATTCCCAACTATGTAAGAACTGTCTTTCAGTAGATGGTATATGGAGACACAGACAAAGACATTCTGATGTTATGACCAAATTAACGTTTGTTTGTGAATATACGTTCTTATATATTGTTAGACAGCTTTGGTTTTCGTTGTAAAAAAGCAAAAAGATTTTGTTACATTTTGTAGGATATGATGGTTCTGGATTTTTTTAACAGTCTAACGATTATTTTCTTATTATTTTTATTGTTTTTCTTGTAGTACCTTCCTCTTCCGTTAACTTTCTGGTAATGTAATACATTTCAAAACATTATTTTTATTCAGATACGAAAGTTCAAAAGGAAATAGCATTGGTTTCGCTTCACAATTGGGCCTTTTGATTGATGCATTGAATATGTCTTTTGAGGCTCAATTTATGGAGGATTTTGTCTCAGGTTTGAGCTACTAATATGACTTATCTTCTCCTGTTTAATTTATGTATTCAACTCTATCAACTTGCCGCATAGTGTAATAGAAATAATTGGAGATTCTAGTTTTTGTAACTTAAAGTTTTTACCTATTTGTTCCTCTTTTTGGTTTGTAGCAGCTGAAAATCCTGGTTCTGATAATTTGAAGTCCTCAATGGTTATACCCTCACCAACAGTTGTTGATCGTGTGCTTAAAGAACTCTTTCATGAGGGTACTTTCTTTCTCCATTTTTGTTGGATATGAAAACGAACTTTGCATTGACATTGAAAACAGAAAGCACATTCAAGTTCTGATGTTTGGTATTGGGGCTTAAGTTACTGTCTGCTTTGTCTAGTTGTTTTATTATTTATTGATTCTTATGATTTATAATCTTCTAGGAACAAGAAAACTTGTCCATACAATTATTATTACTGTGAAATAAATAATACTTCACAGCAATTTCTGATTTTTCTAGAAATCTCTTGTTTCTTACTACATATACAGTCCATATAAAATGATTTCCAATATTTTGAGAAAGGCATCCACCTTGTATTCTAACAGATTATTTGGCTACGAACATTTAGAAACGTACTGGATTTGCTTGTGAATTGAACATTTAATTTATTTATTTTAAACAAGTATGGATCGCATTATTAAATTTCCTCATGTTACGTGTAGGATCAAAACTACCAGATTATGCTAAAGGGAAGCATAAGAGTTCTCGATTTATTAAAGGCGCGCCCTTTGAATCTCTTTTTGCACAGTTTTGTTTACACTCCTTGTGGTTTGGCAACTGCAACATACGAGGTATGTATGAAAGTGGCTATGACTTATTTTCATGAAAAAGCTGTTTAACTGTCACATATTATGCATTTGTTTGTGGGAGATTTACCCATAAGCATTCTGTTGTTTAGTCTTTCTGACCACACTACTGTATCATTCATTTGTGTTTAGCTATTGCCATGCTCTGGATAGAATTTGTTCGAGAAATTCGTTGGTGTTGGGAAGAGTCACAACCATTGCCCAAAATGCCAGCCAATGGTTCAATTGACTTATCAACTTGTTTGATTAACCAGAAACTACAAATGGTAATTGACTTCACAGATCTTCAAAGGGCAATTTTCTTTTTCCATATCCAGATGATTGACAACAAAATGAAGTTTTCTTTAAAAAAATTGATGACTTTTGGACGAGGAGGGCCATTTTTATTTTATGAGCCAACATTAGTTTGCAACAGTGCATGCTTTTTCATAGAATAATTTGAAATAAAAACAATTTCTTAAAAGTGTGAATAATAAACTGAGTCTTCAGAATGTTGATGTTGCATAAAGCTATGAAACATGTTAATTTTTTTTTGGTTTCAAATGTTTTACATATTTAAAGATTGATCCAAGTGCTTTCCTTCATGTGTCAGATTCATGAATGTTTATTTTTATATGTACAAATTTGTTTTGCATTGGATTCAGTAGGTTAAGTTTCCTCCTGGAAGCTGGTCCCCTAGTTATTTTGCAGATTCTTTTTTTGGTACGAATATTACATTAGAATTGGTTTGCAGATCTTAGGACCTTTGAATTGCCTTGTTATTTCTTTCTATAGCATTTCTATGGCAACACAAATTTATGTCATTTCGCTGCTATATTCAGCTTGCCATTTGCATTGACAAGAAGCGTGAACTGAATGAAGACTTTCAAGATTGTTTTGGAAGCGAAGAGCAATCTGTTGGTGATATTGAGGTAAGAATGGTCTTTCAGTCTTACCATCTTCTTTTAGTGCTTGTAACTGTTCCATAGTGAGAATCAGTCATCAATATTATTTATTTCTCTTTGTCTTTCAAAAATGAATATGCAGGAAGATGGTCAAGTTGTGGAGGGTTCAACCAATTTGCAACAAGCCAATGAAAACTTAGACCAGAAACGTGACAGGTGAACGAAGCAAGTGAGAGCTCTTTGGTTGTCTTCATTAAGTTGATCTTAATTGGGGCAATTAATTCTTTTGAGCTTCTTATTTCTTTCCTCTTCATCACTTTCGGAAAAAAAAAAATTGTTACTGTTCGGTGTTTAATTTCATATGGTTTGATATTCTCATGTTATTTATAGAAGTGGCATTGAGAAGTGGTTTAGTTCACTGTCTTTGAGAGTTACTATCATGATGTGGGTTATAACTCCAAAAATAAGCACATACATTAGCGGATGAGTGGACTATGGAAAGTAGTGTTTCTTTTTTCTTTCTTTTTTTGGCCATTTGTTACTTACGTGTCTACACCAATACTTGATGTAGGAGATAGATACTTGATGTAGGAGATAGGTGGCTCGGGCAATCCTTTAATGAATGTAATGATTAGTTGATTGCAGATAAGATAAATGTAAACTTGGATTGTAAATTGCCTTTGACAATTTATCATCATGTTCCTATGGGTTTTGCATGTAGGAAAAACTCTTGCAATCTTATTGATGGATATATCGATTCGTTAATGTCAGATAAAATGGAAGTAAATTTGAATGTTAGTATCTGCTATCTGGTCTTTGGTTATTTGTGTTCTGCCATGAATTTTTCCTTTAATGAGGCTCTTTATCATTCTGTTTTAGGTTATAAATCTATCTAGTTGTTAGCTTGTTATGTGACATAGGTGTAGGACATTTGAATAGCCGATTTTTTTGGTGGTAAACAACTTGATGAATGCCTAGAACTTCTAAGTATGGTATTCAAATAGATGGAGTTAGGAGTAGTTGGTATAAATATCAGCCGATGTCGCTGATAAATCGTTTATGTTGCTCAAGAATATGTGAAAACCATTTACAAGATACAACTTGTTTCCTTTTTCTCTGGGAAATGATATATTTATCTTATTTGTGTAATTATGGTGCTTAATATTGTTGCTCATGATGCAGTCAGTCGACAGAAGAGGGTTTGCATGGATCTGGTACAACTACACCAAGGTCTAATACAAAGGCTGAAGATGTGATGTCTACTGAAAAAAAGCCTGAAGATGTGATGTCTACTGAAAAAAAGCCTGAAGATGTGATATCTACTGAAAAGAAGCCTGAAGATGTGATGTCTACTGAAAAGAAGCCTGAAGATGTGATGTCTACTGAAAAAAAGCTTGAAGATGTGATATCTACTGAAAAGAAGCCTGAAGATGTGATGTCTACTGAAAAAAAGCCTTCAGATAGTATTAGGAGGGGCTCAGCTGGTGTTGTGGGGTCTATGATGCTTCTGAAGTCATACCGAAACATGCATGCCCCTTTCACACAGGTTGCTCCATGCTCTTTGTACCGTTTCACATTCTGATAACTTTTCAAATCTCCCATTAAGTGTGGTGTTTATAAAAGTTATCTTCCTTCTCTCTGATTCATCATAGGATGCACCACTTATGACGGAAGACATGCATGAAGAACGTCTGCGTGCTGTTGAAGCCTTAGGTGATTCATTTGTAAGCTTCAATCCTTATGAATTTCTTTGTTTTAGTGACATTTGATTTATTATCATTCTGGAAGCTCCAATCAAAATAATATTTCCACATGAATTTTATTAGGGCCTATTGAGTTGTGAGTGATCTTTTCTAAGGAGTTCTCAATAGTATGTAAGTGGGAAGTCTTACAATTTGTTTGGTGTTCAGGCAGTTTATGTTTTGTTGCTCTGTCAAAACTAGCATAAGTTTGTCTGCCCATTGAAAGATGAACTGTCTTAACAATTGGAAAAGGAGGAAACAATCTACAATGATGTCTTTGACATAAGTATGCGTTATTTGACAAGAGATATCAAAAACACTAATATAAAATAATTGGAGACAGGTGGATATGGGAATTCGTGCATCACTGGTTGATATTGTGATTTGTGTTATGCCTTTCTGGTTAATATTGTGATTCTTGTTACGCCTCACTGGTTAAAGTGCATGCTATACCTTGTATATAAGTCTTTGATTCAAATATTTCAGTTTATGTTCGGGTATGCTCAATTAATATTTTTATTGACAGATTTAAATCTGATTATGATTTGTTGGTCATTGTTTGTGGCACATTAAGCTTCAGAAATTTATCCATGTCATGCTTTTTCTGTAATATGAATGAGATGCTAGATGCTTTCTCAAGGTCACGTTGAGGAACTTCATCATTATCAGCTAAGAAAGCATTGTCTACAACTTTATTTCAGGACTTTTCTGCTCAGTTGGAGAGAGATATTTTATCATCAGGTAATTAATAATTTCAACAGCTATTTTTCATCAGTCTGATATTTTTGTGTAGTTTAATGCTTCATTTGCTGGCCATCATTTTTATCTTGAGATATATGTTTTTCTCTCAAGATAACCCTTGGTATAAGGCAAATAACCCTTGGTATAAGGCAATTGATTAAAATAAATAGAGTTAAATATATGAGAAAGGGAAATCAAATTCAATCGAAAGCATTTGGATTGTGTAACTTTACCAATACTTTTCTTTTATCTATTCTTTTTCACTAGTATTTGTTTAAAATTGGGTGTAGATATGTCAGCATTTAAAGCAGCAAACCCAGATGCTGTTTTTGAAGATTTTATCAGGTGGCATTCCCCTGGAGATTGGGTCAACGATGAAAGTGAAGGAAATGGCGCATCCGGAGTTCTTACAACAGAGGGTTCACAGGATAATTGGCCTCCTCGAGGACTACTTTCACAGCGAATGTCTGAGCATGGGAACTTGTGGCGAAAAATTTGGAATGATGCCCCCACTTTGCCTGCTTCTGAGCAGAAGCCACTCTTGGATCCAAATCGGGAAGGAGAAAAGGTCAGTTTGAAAAAAGAAAAAAAAAAAGCACTCTTGAGCATGGGAACTTGTGTTCATAGTTTTCCCAATAACTCCTTTAGCTTTAATCTTCACTCACTACAGCACCTTGAATTGCACAGATCCTTCATTACCTTGAAACGTTGCAACCCCATCAGCTGCTTGAACAAATGGTTTGCACTGCCTTCAGAGCATCAGCTGACGCACTAAATCAGACTCATTTTGGAGCTTTGAAGCAGATGACAATGAAAATAGAGCAACTCTATGTTACTATGGCATCTGCACTGAAGCCTTTGCAAGGTATAGGTTGGTGTTTTTTTTTTTCTTCAATATCTTGTTCATCTTGTTTGCAAGTATTCGGCCTAGTGTTTTGAAGTTTGAATTGTCTTGGTTGCAGTGAATAATTTATCTGGTGACAGCGAGACTATAGAAGACCTAAGACGGCTTTGTGTTTTCTTTGAGCACATTGAGAAGCTGTTAATTCTTGCAGCTTCTCTTCATCGTAAGTTCTTGCATGCACCGCGCCTCACTGAAGCAATTTTTAATGACTACTACAACTTTTACCTTCCAAAAATGGGAATGAGCTCAAAGGAAGTCGATGTTCAAACGGTAAGATATCTATGACAACTTATCATTGTTAATAGTCTAGCAGATTTCTCCTAGGCTCCAGTGAAGCACCATTCTGATTGGTCTATTTGAAATTCTGAATCTTCCTGGGAACTTAATTTTGACTGGTGGTTGAAAATCGAAATTACCATTATAGGAGATTACATCAAATTAGTTGTTTTTGATAATGTTTGACTTTTATAACTATGTAATCTACAATATCAACCTTTAATCCATTGCTTTTGCAGAAACATCCTTATTATGTTTTTGACTTTAATGGTGCTATGCTCTTGTCATTTTTGGTCAGGATTTTGAAATGAAGCTGCCAGTGAGGAACCACGAGAGAGAGGTTATATCGAATATGTTCACACCGCCCACTGCTAATCAATCATGGAGAAAAGTTTTGAGCATGGGTAATCTTCTGAACGGGCATGAACCGGTCCTCAGGGAAATTATATTTTCCATGAACGATCACGCGAACAACAGTCATTATGCGGCCAACACTCCAGGGGTTTATCAACAAGAAATAGAAACATATCGAATGTATACATGTGGAACCTCAAATGATCTTCGTGTTGCTCTTTCTGTTACCTCATGTGATTGATTGAATCTCTTCCAAATCATGTACATTATTCATTTAATTATTGCCTGTTTAGATTTTGATTTGATTTCAGCCATTCGTATCATAGGATGACCCAACCCAATCATTCTCATTGCTTTAGGGTTCCATATTTTTCATTCTTCACTGCTTTTGAAATGAATTGGGTTTGTTATGAATGGGACTTGTATTTTATGTGGGGTTTATATGATTGCTTTTGACATTAAGGGTTGCAATTCTTGAATTTGATAGCTGCCCTGCCCTTCATTAACGCACTATTGATGGCAATGCTTTTCAATTTATTTTTTTATTTTTTATTTTTTTTAATAACCACGAGTGTTCCGTGAGATTCATTGAACACCGTACTAGTCCAGAGGACCCGGAAGAATGCTTTTCAATTTATTTTATCTTGATTTTGGATCTTTAATCTTTACATGACATTTGAAAATATTATTCCAAAAACATAAAAACAACATGACATGACAACACTACCTAATTAGATTACCCTACATTTTAAGGGCTATATTAAATGTTATACACCCGAAATTAAAATTTAAAATTAAAAAAAAACTGAAAGAGTCTTTAAAGGTTACATATTTTGGTAGGGTGGGGACAGTATCCATTATCAGAAAATAGTGCTTTCACTCACTCAATCAAAACATGGAGACAAAGCAAAAGCAGAGGCCTACGCAATTATGAAAATATTATTCCCTACTTTTGTGTTAAGTCTTTGATTCCTCTTCGTCCCAAGTCCATTTTTAAAGCCAATAATAAATCAGAAAATAAAAACAAAAATTGAAACTTGGAAGCAACCCAGTTTTAGTTTTAAATAAAATATATTATATGCATGTAGTTTTCCTTCTCTTTTCTTTAAATTTTTGTTAAAAATATTTGTGGGGTTTATCCAATTAGTCATACTAAGCTTTCATGAGTTGAGGGTCAGCATCAGAAAGAAATTGACCCTACATCAGAATGGCAAACACCAGACATGAATGGTGGGTGGGAGGTAATAAATAAAAACAACCACAAAAGAAATTATATTACAGAAGTAGAAATAATACACTCACTACTCTTAAACACATCCATGCAGCATCACTCACTAAATGCTCTACTTAAATTGGTCTTCTTTCTTTCTTTCTTCATATAAGGGTCTTATTGATTGGTATATGGTGGGTGGGGTGGACACCAAGAAATAGATTTTAGATGGATTTGTAATGACTTCATTTGTACCTCAACCTAACTCTTCTTTCTAATTCTCTGCAATATTTTGTACAATTTCACCTTACATCATTTAATTAACACATAACATGACAGATATATTTTTACACTAACACGGCTATCTGTATTCTGAATCTGAATCCTCTCAAGATTTGAATCCAAACTTCACAGGTCTTAATCTTGTTCGTTACTTAAAATTATCTGGAGGGTAAACAAAAATTATCAAGAGCTTTGTTTTTTCAACGAGTCATTCATGTCTCTATTAACTGTAAAAAAATTTGGGAAAATCTAGTGAAAGATATGCAAGATCTTACAAGGTGACAAACGATTAATCTTTCAAGAAAAGAAATCAAAAAACTTGTAGCGGTTGGTTTCTGCTCAAGATCAGTAGTGTAGTACTTACTTACTGCTGCTGATAAAAAATCTTTTTTCTGGAGATTTACAAGCTGCAAAAGTACACATGATATATTCGTCTATCACAAAGAAGAAAACCCCATTAGCAAATGGATTAATTAAGTTAGACAGATAGATGGATGAATGAATGATTACAAGAAGGAATCGTTGGTGGTGGGTCAAGGCAAACCTATGAATACATGATACGTATATAAATTCACCGTAAAAAGAAGAAAAAATTTTGTGGGGTGGGGCTGCGAAGTTGACATCTTTATTTTGTCTTGAATTTAGGGTCTATGAATGAATGAATGAATGACTGGCTTCATAGTTTTCCCAATAACTCCTTTAGCTTTAATCTTCACTCACTACAGCACCTTGAATTGCACAGATCCTTCATTACCTTGAAACGTTGCAACCCCATCAGCTGCTTGAACAAATGGTTTGTACTGCCTTCAGAGCATCAGCTGACGCACTAGATCAGACTCATTTTGGAGCTTTGAAGCAGATGACAATGAAAATAGAGCAACTCTACGTTACTATGGCATCTGTACTGAAGCCTTTGCAAGGTATAGGTTGGTGTTTTTTTTTTTCTTCAATATCTTGTTCATCTTGTTTGCAAGTATCCTGCCTAGTGTTTTGAAGTTTGAATTGTCTTGGTTGCAGTGAATAATTTATCTGGCGACAGCGAGACTGTAGAAGACCTAAGAAGGCTTTGTGTTGTCTTTGAGCACATTGAGAAGCTGTTAATTCTTGCAGCTTCTCTTCATCGTAAGTTCTTGCATGCACCGCGCCTCACTGAAGCAATTTTTAATGACTACTACAACTTTTACCTTCCAAAAATGGGAATGAGCTCAAAGGAAGTTGATGTTCAAACGGTAAGATATCTATGACAACTTATCATTGTTAATAGTCTAGCAGATTTCTCCTAGGCTCCAGTGAAGCACCATTTTAATTGGTCTATTTGAAATTCTGAATCTTCCTGGGAACTTAATTTTGACTGGTGGTTGAAAATCGAAATTACCATTATAGGAGATTGCATCAAATTAATTGTTTTTGATGATGTTTGACTTTTATAACTATGTAATCTACAATATCAACCTTTAATCCATTGCTTTTGCAGAAACATCCTTATTATGTTTTTGACTTTAATGGTGCTATGCTCTTGTCATTTTTGGTCAGGATTTTGAAATGAAGCTGCCAGTGAGGAACCACGAGAGAGAGGTTATATCGAATATGTTCACACCGCCCACTGCTAATCAATCATGGAGAAAAGTTTTGAGCATGGGTAATCTTCTGAACGGCCATGAACCGGTCCTCAGGGAAATTATATTTTCCATGAACAATCACGCGAACAACAGTCATTATGCGGCTAACACTCCAGGGGTTTATCAACAAGAAATAGAAACATATCGAATGTATACATGTGGAACCTCAAATGATCTTCGTGTTGCTCTTTCTGTTACCTCATGTGATTGATTGAATCTCTTCCAAATCATGTACATTATTCATTTAATTATTGCCTGTATAGATTTTGATTTGATTTCAGCCATTCGTATCATGGGATGACCCAACCCAATCATTCTCATTGCTTTAGGGTTCCTTATTTTTCATTCTTCACTGCTTTTGAAATGAATTGGGTTTGTTATTTATGGGGCTTGTATTTTTTGTGGGGTTTATCTGATTGCTTTTGACATTAAGGGTTGCAATTCTTGAATTTGATAGCTGCCCTGCCCTTCATTAACGAACTATTGATGGCAACGCTTTTTAATTTTTTTTTTTTTTTTTAATAACTGGAGTGTTCGGTGAGATTCATTGAACACCGTACTAGTCCAGAGGACCCCGAAGAATGCTTTTCAATTTATTTTATCTTGATTTTGGATCTTTAATCTTTACATGACATTTGAAAATATTATTCCAAAAACATAAAAACAACATGACATGACAACACTACCTAATTAGATTACCCTACATTTTAAGGGCTATATTAAATGTTATACACCCGAAATTAAAATTTAAAATTAAAAAAAAACTGAAAGAGTCTTTAAAGGTTACATATTTTGGTAGGGTGGGGACAGTATCCATTATCAGAAAATAGTGCTTTCACTCACTCAATCAAAACATGGAGACAAAGCAAAAGCAGAGGCCTACGCATTTATGAAAATATTATTCCCTACTTTTGTGTTAAGTCTTTGATTCCTCTTCGTCCCAAGTCCATTTTTAAAGCCAATAATAAATCAGAAAATAAAAACAAAAATTGAAACTTGGAAGCAACCCAGTTTTAGTTTTAAATAAAAATATATTATATGCATGTAGTTTTCCTTCTCTTTTCTTTAAATTTTTGTTAAAAATATTTGTGGGGTTCATCCAATTAGTCATACTAAGCTTTCATGAGTTGAGGGTCAGCATCAGAAAGAAATTGACCCTACATCAGACAATGAATGGTGGGTTGGGAGGTAATAAATAAAAACAACCACAAAAGAAATTATATTACAGAAGTAGAAATAATACACTCACTACTCTTAAACACATCCATGCAGCATCACTCACCAAATGCTCCACTTAAATCTGTCTTCTTTCTTTCTTCATATAAGGGCCTTATTGACTGGTATATGGTGGGTGGGTGGGCACCAAGAAATAGATTTTAGATGAATTTGTAATGACTTCATTTGTACCTCAACCTAACTCTTCTTTCTAATTCTCTGCAATATTTTGTACAATTTCATCTTACATCATTTAATTAACACATAACATGACAGATATATTTTTACACTAACACGGCTATCTGTATTCTGAATCTGAATCCTCTCAAGATTTGAATCCAAACTTGACAGGTCTTAATCTTGTTCGTTACTTAAAATTATCTGGAGGGTAAACAAAAATTACCAAGAGCTTTGTTTTTTCAACGAGTCATTCATGTCTCTATTAACTGTAAAAAAAATTTGGAAAAATCTAGTGAAAGATATGCAAGATCTTACAAGGTGACAAACCATTAATCTTTCAAGAAAAGAAATCAAAAGACTTGTAGCGGTTGGTTTCTGCTGAAGATCAGTAGTATCGTACTTACTTACTGCTGCTGATAAAAAATCTTTTTTCTGGAGATTTACAAGCTGCAAAAGTACACCTGATATATTCGTCTATCACAAAGAAGAAAACCCCATTAGCAAATGGATTAATTAAGAATGAATTAATTAAGTTAGACAGATGGATGGATGAATGAATGATTACAAGAAGGAATCGTTGGTGGTGGGTCAAGGCAAACCTATGAATACATGATACGTATATAAATTCACCGTAAAAAGAAGAAAAAATTTTGTGGGGTGGGGCTGCGAAGTTGACATCTTTATTTTGTCTTGAATTTAGGGTCTATGAATGAATGAATGAATGACTGAATGAAATGTTCTAAGCATTGGATGCTTTTTATTTTTCTTTACTTTTAA